CCCTATTTTTTCCACAAATTCTTTAGTTTGTCTAACACAGTTTTGACTAACATGGCATTTTCAGGAACATAACTACTGTGTTAACACGTAAACAGTCCAAACGTATATGTATGTTTTTACCCCTAGTGCCCCAAACGTATACAAACGTTTTATTTTTCCTGCCTTCAAATTTGGCACGATTGGCCTGAGATGCCTTGTCAGCATAGAATTGGTTCTAACACTCAGTGTGCGCAGTATTAAAAAATCTGGGACCACTTAGTACCTTGCGGGAGCACCAGTTCACATGAGCGCCAGCTAGAGCAAACAGCGCAGCAAACACCTGGGATTCACTGATGTCATGTAGTATTAACACTCCTATTTTAAGAGGAAAGTGATTTTGACCCTGAGTTTAGTGGCTTTGAGGTGGATGTGGACACAAGTAGTCGAGGAAATAACAAAAAACCTCGATAATAACCCATGTGCAATATTTGTGCAACACCCTTTCAGAATGTCTTATAACCTATACCCTAAGTAAAGAGAAACAATTCTGGCTGGCTGGCAGGCTGGCTGCCTGACTGGGTGATTGGCTGGCTAGTTGGCTGGCCAGCTGCATGGCAGCCAGCTGTGTGGCTGGCCGGCTGCTGGCGGACTGGCTCTATCTCCATTTGTCTATCTCTGTCTGTCTCTATCTCTGTCTGTCTCTATCTTTGTATCTGTATCTGTCTCTTTCTATCTGTCTGTCTATCTCTGTCTCACAGGTACACATAAATACAAGTATACATAGTGTAAATTACCTAGGATAACCCAAAAAATCCAGACAAAGTGCTATACTCTGCTTGAAGATGTGAGTAAATGTGATGATGCAGTCTTGTGGCTCTCTCTGAGACAGAGAGCTAGACGGATCGACAGATAGACGGAGCTTGACAGCCAAACAAATAGACAGACATGTTTGTGTACAAGTAAAAACAAAGCAGGCCCTAATCTTTTCTTATCAAGTCTTATCACTGCACCCTTGCGAATGTTCATCAAACGTCATCTCTTATCAAATGTTATCTCTTCTTATCACGTCACTGTCAGGGGTGGACTTTGTTTTTCATGCTTCAAGGGAACTTATTATTTCATTATTATTACTTATTCTTCTCCTCCTCCTCCTCCTCCTCCTCCTTCTCCTTCTCCTTCTCCTCCTCCTTCTTCTCTTCCTCCTCCTCCTCCTCTTCCTCCTCCTCATTATTATATACTTCCACATACATCTTGCTACTTCTACTTACACTTAGGTCACACTACACATACATGTACAAGCATATATATACACACCCCTCTGGGTTTTCTTCTATTTTCTTACTAGTTCTTGTTCTTGTTTATTTCCTCTTACCTCCATGAGGAAGTGGAACAGAATTCTTCCTCCGTAAGCCATGCGTGTTGTAGGAGGTGACTAAAATGCCGGGATCAAGGAGCTAGTAACCTCTCCTCCTGTATATAATACTAAATGTAAAAGGAGAAACTTTCGTTTTTCCTTTTGGGCCACCCCGCCTTGGTGGGATACGGCCGGTGTGTTGAAAGAAAGAAGACTTCCACATATCCAAAACATGGCTGGGACCTATAAATACTTTGTATATATTCAAAGACAATAGTAAATGACCAAGGCAGGTGTAAATGTCCACCTGTCAATGTGTTTGTGACAATGTGAGTACAATTTCAGTACCTAATACTAGTGTCAGAACAAAGATTAGTTATGAAATGACAAGAACTACTATAAATTGTAATTATCAGAACATAAAAATTATATAAATATGAAAAATGGAAAAAAAGATATATTGGCAACACTTCTACAAGTGGCAGCGCTCCACGTTGCCGCCAGGTGATCTCTAAGGGCCAACTTTGCGGCCTCATATCTCGGTAAGTACTGACCCTAACAAATTTTTATCCTATAACACTTAGAAAAATGTGCTCATTTTTTTTCAATAAAAACAAACGATTTTTTTATTTTTTCAAAATATCTGGGGCACTGGGGTAGTGAACGTATATATACGTTTGGACCGTTTACGGATTAAATGACGGTCTACTGTATATGCTCTTAATAATGAGTAACTTCATTAAAAGGAACTGACAGTAAAAAAAAAAAATACAGTAATTATGATCATAGTTTACTAGGAACCAGTAGGCTTATTGGCTAGAATACTTCTTGTCCAGAATAATACAATAATTTTCACTAGTTATATAAAGAGTCACATTACTTGTGAGATGAATCTGGTCCTGCTTCAGACAAGAATAATTTTTCTTTGCTCAAAGGAACGTGATCCAGGGTCTCCCATGTACGACGAGAAGTCAAAGGTGGACCTTTAAGTACAGCTTCCCATACATCTTCCATGTCATCTTCTGGGGTTTGGAGATTGGCTGCCCGAGATGATGCATATCCTTCATCGCTACACACCTAGAATGTGATTGCATAAAACATCATTATTTGCAAAGATTAAATGAACAAATATTTTCTCAACATCAAAGTTCAAGGCCAGACTCAAGGAGAAGAAATGTGGTAATATGGATTAGTATGGCTGGGATAACAACAATGGCATGTGTCTGCAAGAATACTTAAAACATCACTTGGAAATAAGAGATTGTTGGCAAAATTTTTCTGACAATAGTTCATCAACAAGCTATAGACAAAGCTCTATTTGTCACAGGTCCACTTGACATGTCTCACAACAGCCAAGTATTTTGTATTTTAACCCTTAAACTGTTCAAACAAAGAGCTACGTTGACGTGCGTAGTGCTCCGAACGTAGATCTACGTATGATTTTACATGCTTTATGTGAAAAAACGTAGATCTATGTTCAGAACGCTATGCATGCCAACGTAGATCTACGTAGATCTACAGTTTAAAGGTTAACAAGTCTTTATATGTCCAGTACCAAATAAAGAAACACGGATGAAACTATAAGTCCAGAAACTTTTGATTCCTTAACCTATTAGGGATAAGAAAATATCAGTAATGTCTATTTTTAATCAATTTATGCTTTAAAATACAAAAACTATGTTTTACTTGCAACGAAAGAAAGACTTCAAAATAGTCTAAGTTCTGAAAAGCAGCCCTTGGTATCATATGAAAGTGCATACACATCTGAGGAAATATATACTGCATAACATTAAATCTAATGAACTTGGTTGAAAAGATTTAGTATTTTTTTTTACTAGAAGCTAATTTATTATGAAACAAGGTTCAACTTAATGTGGAGAGTGACTAAGATTTAATGCAGTGACAAAAACAGGTTGCAGAACAAGCTTACATTAGGACAGCATTTCTCTGTTCAGTTTTATAAAGAATGACTATAAAGCTCTACACAGAGCAAAATGTCCCATAAAATGCTTGCTCTGCAACTTGTGCCTTTTCTACAATATTACTGGCAGAAACGCACTTAAATCCAAGACTTACTGCACTTGGAGGTGAAGGTAAGGTCTTGGGAAGATGACTGAAGTAACTGTATCCTTGGGCATTAGTTGGCAGCTCGGGAATAGACAATAAAGCATCTGGTTCCACCTCTCCACTTTGCTTCTGTAATAATGCTCCCATGACTCTGAGAGAGAAAGATACATTTTACCAATATGCAAAATAATCCATTCTTTCCTTACAGAGTCCAGTTAACCAGACTTGAGTCTTGGAGGTGGGAAGTACAGTGTCTGCACACTGAAGAAGGGGTCCCTACCCCAGTAGGGAAGAAGTGGCAGATGCAGTGTAATACAGACAAATGCAAAGTTCAAAGTCTTGGAAAGGAAAATAACCATAGCACTTATAAACTAAATAATGTAGATCATAATTACTCTGAATGCAAAAAGATTTAGAAGTTCTGGTTAGCAGCAATCTAAAGTGCATAAATGTTTGCAATAAAGCAAATAGAATTCTTGGCTTCATATCAAGAAGCATAAATAATGCTGAAAATATATAAAACAGCTTGATAAAAAGATTGAGGCACAAACCATTTCCAGAATGCAAATGCAAAAGTAAGTAGTGTGGGTTGTCAAAGGAAGGGAAGGGGTCATGTACCACAGCATGTACTACCAACATTTTGTGCATTAAATAACTTTTGTTTTACAGTATGTATTAAAAACTTTTGCATAAAAATTTTTGGTTGTATTTTTTCAGTCATAATGCAAGAAAATTGTGCAATGTGAAGCTGTGCTGTACGAGGGTTTACTATAATATTAAAAAACTAAATGTCTATGTAAGCATGTTTAATCCAGAAGTACACAGTACAATGTATGAGTAGTTTATATGCTAAGTGGGTTTAATTATTTTATGGAGAGGGGAAATATATTATCTAGTTCGGCATCATTTTTATGGCAACCTTTTGTCATGTTGTGAACTGTTTTCGTTACTTTGTATATACAGACTCTCCTCACTTAGTGATGTACTCATTTACCGATGCCCTGGACTTACGACGGGGTCTCTGACCAGTATGCATAACTACATAATGTATATTAGAGCTGATTTCCTCTATTCTGTTTATTACAATATACAGTACACTACTGTATAAACATTTAAAAATATACCAGAAATGCTATAAATGGTGCAAAGGTGACATTAAAACAATATCAAAGATGGTCAACACAAACCCACTACCATTATAGTATGCTCCTCACTTAGCCACGAATTCATTTACCAACATGGTCTTAAGAACGGAACTCCGTCATTAAGGAGAGGCTGTATACTGTAATTAAGGCTAGAAGATTAGTATGTAGTACAGTAGCATTAATGAGGGCTAGTGAATGCATATGAAAATTTCTGAAAGAATGCTTAATGTTTTAAAAGCTTTTCTTGATGTTTTGGATGTGTGTTGAATTTCAGTATGTTATCAAGGTGCAGGCAAGGACTTTATCCTGTCTGTATTTCACACATCAGTACAGTTCATCCTAATAGTTGTGTCGTTAATTGTTTTGTTAATAAATATTTTGTAGTTAACATTTTCTATGTCAAGCAGGAGCTGGTTGGTTGTCAAACGGTACAAATTAATAAGTAGTAGGTTGGTAGACAGCAACCACCCAGGGAAGTACTACCGTCCTGCCAGATGACTGTGAAACAAAAACCTGTAACTGTTTTGCATGATGGTAGGATTGCTGGTTTCTTTTTCTGTCTCATAAACACGCTAAGATAACAGGGATATCTTGCTACTCCTACTTACACTTTGGTCACACTTCACAGACACGCACATGCATATATATATATACATACATCTAGGTTTTTCTCCTTTTTCTAAATAGCTCTTGTTCTTTTTTATTTCTTCTATTGTCCATGGGGAAGTGGAAAAGAATCTTTCCTCCGTAAGCCATGCGTGTCGTATGAGGCGACTAAAATGCCGGGAGCAATGGGCTAGTAACCCCTTCTCCTGTATACAATTACTAAAAAAGAGAAGAAGAAAAACTTTATAAAACTGGGTTGCTTAAATGTGCGTGGATGTAGTGCGGATGACAAGAAACAGATGATTGCTGATGTTATGAATGAAAGAAGTTGGATGTCCTGGCCCTAAGCGAAACAAAGCTGAAGGGGGTAGGAGAGTTTCAGTGGGGGGAAATAAATGGATTAAATCTGGAGTATCTGAGAGAGTTAGAGCAAAGGAAGGGGTAGCAGTATGTTAAATGATCAGTTATGGAAGGAGAAAAGAGAATATGAAGTGTAAATTCAAGAATTATGTGGATTAAAGTAAAGGTTGGATGCGAGAAGTGGGTCATAATAAGCGTGTATGCACCTGGAGAAGAGAGGAATGCAGAGGAGAGAGAGAGATTTTGGGAGATGTTAAGTGAATGTATAGGAGCCTTTGAACCAAGTGAGAGAGTAATTGTGGTAGGGGACTTGAATGCTAAAGTTAGGAAAAACTTTTAGAGAGGGTGTGGTAGGAAATTTTGGGGGTTTGCCAGGTGTAAATGATAAGGGGGAGCCTTTGATTGAACTTTGTATAGAAAGGGGTTTAGTTATAGGTAATACATATTTTAAGAAAAGAGGATAAAAAAAGTATACACGATATGATGTAGGGCGAAAGACAGTAGTTTTTTGGGGATTATGTTTTGGGTTTAGATAAAAGACTGTTGGGGTAGACTTCAGGATGTACATGTTTATAGAGGGGCCCAGATATATCAGATCACTTTCTAGTTGTAGCTACACTGAGAGTAAAAGGTAGATGGGATAAAAGGAGAATAGAAGCATCAGGGAAAGAGAGAGGGTAAAGGGTTTATAAACTAAAAGAGGAGGCAGTTAGGGTAAGATATAAACAGCTATTGGAGGATAGAGGGGTAATGAGGCATGGGGGCAATGGGGTCGAAAGAGGTATGGGGTAGGTTTAAAAATGTAGTGTTAGAGTTTTTCAGCAGAAGTTTGTGGGGTTACAGGAAAGTGGGTGCAGGAGGGAAGAGGAGCGATTGGTGGAATGATGATGTAAAGAGAGTAGAAAGGGAGAAAAAGTTAGCATATGAGAAGTTTTTACAAAGAGAAGTGATGCAAAGGAGGGAAAAGAGTATATGGAGAAAAGAGAGAAGTTTAAGAGAGGGGTTTTGAAGCAATGTAAAAAGAGAAGGAAAAATGAGAGAGTGGGTGAGATGTTATCAACAAATTTTGTTGAAAATAAGAAAAAGTTTTGGAGTGAGATTAACAAGTTAAGAAAGCCTAGAGAACAAATGGATTTGTCAGTTAAAAATAGGAGAGGAGAGTTATTAAATGGAGAGGTAGAGGTATTGGGAAGATGGAAGGAATATTTGAGGAATTGTTAAATGTTGATGAAGATAGGGGAAACTGTGATTTCGTGTATAGGGCAAGGAGGAATAACATCTTGTAGGAGTGAGGAAGAGCCAGTTGTGAGTGTGGGGAAGTTCGTGAGGCAGTAGGTAAAATGAAAGGGGTAAGGCAGCCCGGGGTTGATGGGATAAAAAATAGAAATGTTAAAAGCAGGTGGGGATATAGTTTTGGAGTGGTTGGTGCAATTTTAATAAATGTATGGAAGAGGGTAAGGTACCTAGGGATTGGCAGAGAGCATGCATAGTTCCTTTTTTATAAAGGCAAAGGGGGTTTAAAAAAAAAGTGCAAAAATTATAGGGGGATAAGTCTGTTGAGTGTACCTGGAAAAGTGTATGGTAGAGTTATAATTGAAAGAATTAGAGTAAGACGAGAATAGGATAGCAGATGAACAAGGAGGCTTTTAGGAAAGGTAGGGGGTGTGTGGACCAGGTGTTTTCAGTGAAACATATAAGTGAACAGTATTTAGATAAGGCTAAAGAGGTTTTTTGTGGCATTTATGGATTTTGGGAAAAAGGGGTATGACAGGGTGGATAGGGGGCAATGTGGCAGATGTTGCAAGTGTTTTGGTTTTAGGAGGTAGGTTACTGTAAACAGTGAAGAGTTTTTACGAGGAATAGTGAGGCTCAAGTTAGAGTATGTAGGAAAGAGGGGAAATTTTTTCCCAGTAAAAGTAGGCCTTAGACAAGGATGTGTGATGTCACCGTGGTTGTTTAATATATTTATAGATGGGGTTGTAAGAGAAGTAAATGCAAGGGTCTTGGCAAGAGGCGTGGAGTTAAAAGATAAAGAATCACACACAAAGTGGGAGTTGTCACAGCTGCTCTTTGCCGATGACACTGTGCTCTTGGGAGATTCTGAAGAGAAGTTGCAGAGATTGGTGGATGAATTTGGTAGGGTGTGCAAAAGAAGAAAATTAAAGGTGAATACAGGAAAGAGTAAGGTTATGAGGATAACAAAAAGATTAGGTGATGAAAGATTGAATATCAGATTGGAGGGAGAGAGTATGGAGGAGGTGAACGTATTCAGATATTTGGGAGTGGACGTGTCAGCGGATGGGTCTATGAAAGATGAGGTGAATCATAGAATTGATGAGGGAAAAAGAGTGAGTGGTGCACTTAGGAGTCTGTGGAGACAAAGAACTTTGTCCTTGGAGGCAAAGAGGGGAATGTATGAGAGTATAGTTTTTACCAACGCTCTTATATGGGTGTGAAGCGTGGGTGATGAATGTTGCAGCGAGGAGAAGGCTGGAGGCAGTGGAGATGTCATGTCTGAGGGCAATGTGTGGTGTGAATATAATGCAGAGAATTCGTAGTTTGGAAGTTAGGAGGAGGTGCGGGATTACCACAAAACTGTTGTCCAGAGGGCTGAGGAAGGGTTGTTGAGGTGGTTCGGACATGTAGAGAGAAATGGAGCGAAACAGAATGACTTCAAGAGTGTATCAGTCTGGTAGTGGAAGGAAGGCGGGGTAGGGGTCGGCCTAGGAAGGGTTGGAGGGAGGGGGTAAAGGAGGTTTTGTGTGCGAGGGGCTTGGACTTCCAGCAGGCATGCTGTGAGCGTGTTTGATAGGAGTGAATGGAGACAAATGGTTTTTAATACTTGACGTGCTGTTGGAGTGTGAGCAAAGTAACATTTATGAAGGGATTCAGGGAAACCGGCAGGCCGGACTTGAGTCCTGGAGATGGGAAGTACAGTGCCTGCACTCTGAAGGAGGGGTGTTAATGTTGCAGTTTAAAAACTGTAGTGTAAAGCACCCTTCTGGCAAGACAGTGATGGAGTGAATGATGGTGAAAGTTTTTCTTTTTCGGGCCACCCTGCCTTGGTGGGAATCGGCCGGTGTGATAATAAAAAAAAAAATAATAATATTTTAAATTACTTATGTTGTTTAGGACAGCTTGATCTGGGTTTGTGGTGACACAGGGAAAAACTACAGAATAGTTGGTGTATTTTCACCCACCAAATACACTATCAAAATGCAGAACAGTGGTAGGAAAGGAGTGAAGTAAATAAAGGAAGCCAGGAATGACAGAAAAATATGTATATTATGAATATATTACTGTATCCTGAGATACGTTATATCAGAATTTATGAATGCCATACAAAGAAACCAGGAAAGGTACTACACATTAATGTTTCTTTACACTGCTGAACAATTTAATATCAGGCTTATATTAAAACAAATCAAACCACAAAATTTTATAATAGAAAATTTACACTGAATTTATTCAAATTATACTTAACTACTAAAGAAGTGTACCTCAAATAACTCACTTGCCGCATGCTTCACTCTGGTCTCTTCCTAGAAGCATTGGGCTAACCCCTGTTCCAGGTGGTGCCTTGCTCAGCTCAATCATACATTCAACTTCAGATGGAGAAGTATTTTTCTTATAAGCCACATTTTCAATTGATGATGGGAGGGAGAATATCCCGGGAGGAAAGTGCATGTAGTGCGGTCTATATTCAGCAGACTGCATGAAGGTGTCTCCATACTGTAGTGGGCCAGAGGGCAGAAAGCTGGGCTGGTTCTGAAGCAAAAAAATCTAATAGTCATCCCTGGCAAGTGGACCAATGAAAGATTTTAAAGCTCCCCAAAGGACAGGATACTACAGTAGGGCGCCACTTATATGGCAGGTTAGGTTCCAGGCTACCGCCATAAAGCAAAAATCGTCAAGTGGAATGCCCTTTTTTCCACTTATAAATGCATATAAATCTAGATAAGTTTACACTAACACATATAAATGTTAGATAACAAGTTTACACTAACACATATAAATGTTAGATAATAAGTTTACACTAAGTTAGCAATAGAACTAGACATTAAGAAACAATAAAAAAGTAAAATACAGTGGAACCTTGGCTTATGAATTTAATCCATTCCGTGGACTTGTTCATATCCTGATTTGTTCGTATGCTGGGCCAATTTTCCTCATTTAAATTAACTGAAATGCAATTAATTCGTTCCAGCTGAATTCCTGCTCTCAGGAGGCATCACAAAATAACCCTAATATCAACTCTACGGCTTATTTATCTGTCACAATTTATCTAATATGGCATAAACAATATATAGTGGACCCTCAATCATCGATGGCATTGACTAACGATAAAAATCGGGCAAAGATGAGTTTTTGCGTAAAAATATTGGCTCGACAGACGATGAAAAACTCAGGTAACGACATTCGTCCTGAACACATCCGCCTGTCCGTCCAGACTGAGTGCCACAGCTGCCCTGCCTTCAGCTAGTGTGCCACTGCTTACAAGCGAGGGCGGACAGTTTCACGCATACATGCGATATATTTTGCATTATTCCATTGTGTTTAGTGTTTGTAATTGCTAAATAAGCCACTGTGGGCCCAAAGAAATCTTCTAGTGCCAATCCTGTGGTAAAAAAGGTGAGAAATACTATTGAAATACTATTGTACAACGGTCAGCTGTTGCTGTACCACCATCAGCTGCTGCTGTACCATGGTCAGCTGTGGCTGCACCACGGTCAGCTGCTGCTGTACCACCGTCAGCTGCTGCTGTACCACCGTCAGCTGCTGCTGTACCACCGTCAGCTGCTGCTGTACCACCGTCAGCTGCTGCTGTACCACCGTCAGCTGCTGCTGTACCACCGTCAGCTGGTGCTGTACCACCGTCAGCTGGTGCTCCACCACCGTCAGCTGGTGCTGCACCACCGTCAGCTGGTGCTGCACCACCATCAGCTGCTGCTGCACCACCGTCAGCTGTACTACCCGAAGATGTGGAGTGTGTGTTGGTGGTGTGGCTTAATGAGAAAAAATTAACCCCAGAGGGTTAGCCACCCAGAATAACCCAAGAAAGTCAGTGCATCATCAAGGACTGAAACTTATTTCCATTGGGGTCCTTAACCCTTAAACTGTCCAAACGTAGATCTACGTTTTTTCAACATTTGAAAATATGTAAAAAATAGATTTTTTTTTTACATTTGAAAACGTGTAAAAAAATGTAATCTACTTTTGGAGCACTACGTATGTGAACATAGATCTGCCTGGAGAGTTTAAGGGGTAATCTTGTCCCCCAGGATGCGACCCACACCAGTCGACTAACACCCAGGTGAACAGGAAAAAATGCCTGGAACTAGTGCTCATATTGGTGAATTTAAGGCCAGCAAAGGTTGGTTTGAGAGATTTAAGAATCATAGTGGCATACACAGTGTGATAAGGCATAGCAAAGCTGAAAAATCCCAACCCCAACAAGTGTTCAATTATGACGAAACAGGCCTGCTCTGGAAGAAAATGCCAAACAGGACCTACATTACTCAGGAGGAAATGGCACTCCCAGGACACAAGCCTATGAAAGACAGGCTAACTCTCATGTTTTGTTGTATTGCTAGTGGGGATTGCAAAGTGAAGCCTTTACTCACGTATCACTCTGAAAATCCCAGTGTCTTCAAGAAAAACAGTGTCTCATCACTCATCAATACTTTTCAATAAAGGTAAGTGTTATTTTATCATTTATGTATTTATTTATTGTGCATGTCTCATTGTTTTCATGTAAAAAAAAAAAAATTTTTTAATACTTTTGGCTGTCTGGAACGGATTAATTTGATTTCCATTATTTCTTATGGGGAAAATTAATTCAGCTAATTATCCGGCACAGGACAAGCTCTCTGGAACGGATTAAAATCATTGGTTGAGGGTCCATTGTAAATAAGACAGAAACCTGATATACACTCCAGCAACAGACTGATACACTCTTGTAGTCATTCTGTTTCGCTCCATTCACTCTACATGTCCGAACCACCTCAACAACCCTTCCTCAGCCCTCTGGACAACAGTTTTGGCAATCCCGCACCTCCTCCTAACTTCCAAACTACAAATTCTCTGCATTATATTCACACCACACATTGACCTCAGACATGACATCTCCACTGCCTCCAGCCTTCTCCTCGCTGCAACATTCATCATCCATGCTTCACACCCATATAAGAGCGTTGGTAAAACTATACTCTCATACATTCCCCTCTTTGCCTCCAAGGACAAAGTTGTAATAAAGTTGGTAGAATTACCAACAATGTGTAACTTAAAAGGACACAAGTGCAACTAATGTGACATTTTATTGTGGCAACGTTTCGCTCTCCAGGAGCTTTATCAAGCTGTTACAAACAGTACATGGACACAGAGGGTATGTATAGGCTCAGAGTGAGGTGCAATACTGGCGGCGGCAAAGGCGGCGGCAAAGGCGGCGGCGGCGGCGGCGGCGGCGGCGGCAGCAGCAGCAGCAGCAGCAGTAGAATTAACTTGCACATGAGTAAACGATATAAAGGCTATTACTTGGGAAACAAAAAACTGGTTAGACAAATATTTCTATTGGAGGCTGGATAGAGAAGGCCTGTTTCAGTGTTCATTCTCTGTAAAGTGCTTGTGTAGTATAAAACAAAAGCAGCTTCACCTTCTCTGAAATCTTAGCAAGAATCCTCCTGAAAACAGTAAATCCTGCCATCACATATTCTCTCCTGTTAATACTACACAAGCACTTTACAGAGAATGAACATTGAAACAGGCTGCTTCTATCCAGCCTCCAATAGAAATATTTGTCTAGCCATTTTTGTTTGTAGATGAATGGTTCAGAGAACCGACATGTTGATAAATTAGACACATGTGCAACTCTTGGGTATCTTTATTGAGGAAACGTTTCGCCACACAGTGGCTTCATCAGTCCATACATAAGAGAAACTTGAAGAACAGGAGGAGAATGAGGCAATCAGTCCCTCAACCTTGAGTCGATGTGTTCAGTCCATCAATCTTGAGTAGACTGATGGACTGAACACATCGACTCAAGGTTGAGGGACTGATTACCTTATTCTCCTCCTGTTCTTCAAGTTTCTCCTATGTATGGACTGATGAAGCCACTGTGTGGCAAAACGTTTCCTCAATAAAGATACCCAAGAGTTGCACATTTTTGTTTCCCAAGTAATAGCCTTTATATCGTCTACTCATGTGCAACTTATTTGTTCTACATATTCTTCTTCTACTACTACTACTACCACTACTACTACTACCACTACTACTATCACTACCACTACTACTACCACTACTACTACTACTACCACTACTACACCTCACTCTGAGCCTATATACCCTCTGTGTCCATGTACTGTTTGTAACGGCTTGATAAAGTTCCTGGAAAGCAAAACGTTGCCACAATAAAATGTCACATTAGTTGCACTTGTGTCCTTTTACTTTACAAGGACAAAGTTCTTTGTCTCCAGACTCCTAAGTGTACTGCTCACCCTTTTCCCCTCATCAATTCTATGATTCACCTCATCTTTCATAGACCCATCCTCTGACACGTCCCTTCCCAAACATCTGAATACATTCACCTCCTCCATACTCTCTCCCTCCAATCTGATATCCAATCTTTCATCACCTAATCTTTCTGTTATCCTCATAACCTTACTCTTTCCTGTATTCAATTTTAATTTTCTTCTTTTACATACCTTACCAAATTCATCCACCAACCTCTGCAACTTCTCTTCAGAATCTCCCAAGAGCACAGTGTCATCAGCAAAGAGCAATTGTGACAACTCCCACTTTATGTGTGATTCTTTATCTTTTAACTCCACGCCCCTTGCCAAGACCCTCACATTTACTTCTCTTACAACCCCATCTATAAATATATTAAACAACCATGGTGACATCACACATCCTTGTCTAAGGCCTACTTTTACTGGGAAATAATCTCCCTCTTTCCTACATACTCTAACTTGAGCCTCGCTATCCTCGTAAAAAACTTTACTGCTTTCAGTAACCTACCTCCTACACCATACACCTGCAACATTGCCCCCCTATCCACCCTGTCATATGCCTTTTCCAAATCCATAAATGCCACAAAAACCTCTTAGCCTTATCTAAATACTGTTCACTTATATGTTTCACTGTAAACACCTGGTCCACACACCCCCTACCTTTCCTAAAGCCTCCTTGTTCATCTGCTATCCTATTCTCCGTCTTACTCTTAATTCTTTCAATAATAACTCTACCATACACTTTACCAGGTATACTCAACAGACTTATCCCCCTATAATTTTTGCATTCTCTTTTGTCCCCTTTCCCTTTATACAAAGGAACTACGCATGCTCTCTGCCAATCCCTAGGTACCTTACCCTCTTCCATACATTTATTAAATAATTGCACCAACAACTCCAAAACTATATCCCCACCTGCTTTTAACATTTCTATCTTTATCCCATCAATCCCAGCTGCCTTACCCCCTTTCATTTTACCTACTGCCTCACGGACTTCCCCCACACTCACAACTGGCTCTTCCTCACTCCTACAAGATGTTATTCCTCCTTGCCCTATACACGAAATCACAGCTTCCCTATCTTCATCAACATTTAACAATTCCTCAAAATATTCTCTCCATCTTCCCAATACTGTACCTCTAACTCTCCATTTAATAACTCTCCTCTCCTATTTTTAACTGACAAATCTGTTCCCTAGGCTTCCTTAACTTGTTAATTTCACTCCAAAACTTTTTCTTATTTTAAGAACATAAGAATGTAGGAACACTGCAGA